CAGCGAAAGTTGTTCAATCGCTTTTGCTGGTAATTTGCAAGCAGCATAGATGGTCGTCAGCGACCTTTCAAGTTTGTGTCGAGATTTCTCGGTTCAAGCTGCCTGGCAGCAATTGTGAGACAACCTAATAAGAGACGGGGCGTTTATTCAAGAAAAAGACTATAATATTCGGGTTTGTCAGGTGTTATAACCCCCTTACAGTTTCGGCCAATTCTGAGGTTCTGACTTTTTAGTCAGGAAAGTGTTTGGTTGTCCCAAGCAAGGTTTGCGTACAGCGGATGTTCAACTTCGAGAAGACACTAAATCTCGTCTTGCCTTTGGGTTCCGTTTCTGGTTCGTAAAGCATATTGGATTATCCCCTTGCATCAATTTATACAGAGTTTCGGATCATTGTGTATGGCCTAGGTTGCGAAGGCTTCGTTTTTGCTTAATCCCATAAATCTTTAACATTAACTACTTTTCGAAAAATGCCTAAATTTTTTCGTGTTTGATTTCCTGGCATTTGTAGCACACACTACAACCTACATACCGGCAAAGTCTAAGAGCGCCACATTTGAACAGAAAGAATAATGAAAGCTGCAAACTTAGTTTCCAAACTAATACAATAACTGCGACACGGCAAACGTATAAGGCGAGAATTGCAGTTCAAGGGTATTATCAGTGTGGCGACCTAGGGATTCCGTTTGGGTGGGGGGGGGGGGGGGGGGGAAAGAAGGGAGGACGAGATTTTTTTCTAATATAGTCGGAAATTTTTTTTGCTATGCTTCCTAGACTTTTCGCGGGCCCATAACCCCAAAATCTCAGTCCAAAAAATCTTTTTGTGAGACTAAACTAAATTTTTAAATCAAAAAATATTTCAATTGTTTAAAAGTATGAATGAGTCAGTGCAAATTTTCATTTCATTGCCACCCTTGCGCGCGGTTGTGGTAGAGGTGGCGGTTATAACTGCGGTGGTGACAGTGAAGGTGTACAGAGTATTCAGCTTTAAAGTCGGTGATTACTCCAGAGGAGGGCACGCATTGTTGGGTTCATTAACACATTGACGACCGAAGCCTTTCTCAAACCAGCCCACGGTTTTCAAATGAAATCGCACACGATTCAATCTACAGTACACCTAGAGTATAACTGGAATGCTGGCAAAAACATTGTATCTAAATCCAGCATGAATGAAAACTCCCGGAGTTGGTTTGGCACATTTTAGTAGCCATTTCAATGAGAGCCATGGTGTGCCACCATGTTGCGTTTTCATAGCCTTTTTTACCTTAAAAAGAAGGTTTCTGAGGAATCTTTGCCGAAATTCAAGACAAAATTTCTCAATTATCCTCTCATTTGAATAAAATCGAGTTTCAAAAGTCTAGGAAAACTATTTGAGTTAAATAGAAACGAAAAACTGCGCTTAAATCTTGCGCAGAGAGTCGCGCACGAAAACGCTGGTCTATCTCGTTAATGAGTGATTTTCAGAGCTTGGGCCATTGTCAGTCCTCCTCGTCGTGTCATGACGATCAGAATGATATGTAATGTTGCAGGGTTTCGTTGAGATCCCGCGGAGATCCACGACCAGAGCCAAATGCCCCGCCGGCTCTGGTTCCGGCAAAAGAATCCGGCAAAAGCCTTGTTTTCGAAAATTTCTTGTTTTTTTCTTGTTTAACTATTTTCACGCGGTTTTTTCGTGCATTCTATAGATCTTGCTCCTGTTCATAATGCAGACAACCACCCAGCCCTTATCTCTTCCATTATGGTGGAATTTTTTGCAAAAAATCGTAAAAAGTGCGTTTTTCTTTACCTTGTTCTGTTTCAGTGCTTTCGCAGCGATTTTTTTCAAGCGATTGTTGCTCAGAAAACAATAAGCGCAACAATCCGAACAACGTCCCAGGAAACAGGAACGTCAATGCGGGGGTAAAAATTTGAAGGACTCATCAAAAATCAAAACAACGTGTTGCGAATTGCTGGTCCTGGAGCGAAACCTTGCACTTTGAAAAGCCGCCAATTGAATGATTTCAGACCTCTTTGCAGCGTTTTTATCCAGTTTTCAGCAGTTTCTTTTGCTTTTTATATCTTCTACGTCATATTCTCTTCTCTGATTTTCGTTAAACAACCTTCACTATTTATGGCGTCAGATGTTTAAATCAAACAACCTTCACTTTTGACGCCCTGTCTCTAGACTATCGAAGGTATGGTGTTAATGGTGAGCACAAGGCATGCATATCTATCTGTTCCTTAGGCGTAGATTTTTACCTTTGGTTCGGATCATCGAATTGTCTGAAGACAGCCGATACAGGTCCTAGTCTGCAAAAACATGTCCAGCGCGAGTTATTCATTGTCGGGGCTATTATGACGAGTGACAATTGATCGTCGCAGTGTAGATACCAATACGTTCAAGACTTTGTTTACAATCTAATATGGTAATAAAATTTTGTGCCGCACAACATATTTAGGACATCTTACTTCATCGCGCCTTTTTTTATCGGAGAAAAAAATTTCTACTCCCAAAAAAGTACAACATCTAATTCTCATCAAAGTGTTAGGTTGATGCAAAAATATGGCCGTTTTTCCAAGCTTCTCCTCAGGACAAACTTTGGAACAGGTACAGCAAATTATCGAGAAGAGCTCTTTTCATGCTCTAACTGCTAATATTAGAGCAGGCTTCTAGCCTCATCTGTCAAAAAGTTACAGAGCTTTAATGACCGCTTTGAGTTTTGAATGAATGAATGATCAAAACTTCACTGCATTTACTTTCCTGGCCATATCTCAAGCGCGAATGAACGGCGGTTTTTAAATTTATTACTGTATGTAAAAGGAATTGTCTACATCATGCATGCTCAATAATTTCCTTGCGATTATCTAGGCTGAAATATCGGCGCTTAAACATGGGTGACCGTGTCGGTTTCTATGACCCAGGAAAAACTTTTGAAGAACGCAATCGCTAAAGCTTTACCCATTTCTGTAAGCGTAAGAGGGCATTTTATTGACAGTTTTTGCAAAAGAATTCATCTATCCAGCATGCAAAAAATAGAATTCTATAGTTCGGAACCTTGAGGCCTACTGACAAACTGTTGAAAACCTACAATATTCAGATTTTAATTTTTTTTTCGCGAACCTTCTTTATCCGAGTCCGCTTTATCTTATTTGTCCTTTGCCATTACAAGATAAGCAGCTTGTCATTTATACTAACATACTGTAAAGGAAGTTATGATTTGTCAAAAACAAGGTTTTGCAAGACTATTTTTTGTTTTTCAATCTATATTCTTCCGCCCGTTTATGATGTGATGGATGAATATATTGCAACAGATTCGCTGCTTCTGATGGTGTTCAAGCATTTGAAATGTAGCTTTTTCAGAATCTTATTGCACGTCAAAGTGAGAATTCGCGCCATTACTTTTGCATCAACCTACTTTTTTGAAAGAATATTAGGCATTGGACAAAAAACTTGTCCGCAACCCCGCAAAGCCTAGAGCTAGTGAGCTTCTGCCGTCATTGCTTTTGTACCTACATATTAACATATTAGAGCTCACCTAGATAAATGTCATTTATTCACAGCCTTCAATAAAATTTTGCTTCTTACTGGTGCCCAAGGATGTCGTGGAGATCAATTTATCCCGACTTTAAAATTTTTATTTCGAGAAAAAAACATGAAAATCACAGCTACACCAAAGAACATTTGTACCAAGAGACATTTTCGTTTTATTCTTTACTTTTTTTTGGTATACTCAGGATGAACTTGAAGAAAAACAGAAAAAAGTAACAGCCAATCTCATCAATTATACGGGAATAAGCAGTAGGTGCAATTGAATTTCGCGTTGTTAAACGAATTTGGTCACTCGAATATCCCGCAGCCGACTTTTCGATGTCGCTGGATATTTTGCAAATCTCCATAGTATGGCCACATACATACTGTATACTATATACTATATATACATATATATATGTATATATATATATATACATATACATATATACATATATATATCCTGTATACTACGTGCAACGATGATGTTTGGGTCATAGCGTGGCTTAGAGCTGTGGTTCTTCAATAAAAACAAACTTCATAAAACCTACTGCTTAAGTTCTCATAATAGTAACGTTGCAAAGGATTAACGGAGCACGATGGGCCATATTTAGTACCCATCATGCTCCAATATGTTAATCTGAAGGCATCTTTCTCGAAAAATGCTTCAGATCGGAGCCTCTACAAGATCTGAGATACTTATATTATTCTTTGCATGTTGTAAAAGAAGTGTTTAGACATGTAGTTAGTGATGCAAATCAAGCAAGCTTATTTGTACCAGTCTGAAGGTCGCCAAACCCAAGCAACCGGCTGCCCAAATTTTCTGTTCGAAGCTATTAAGTTCGTACCGAATTTACAACCCGGACAAGCTAATTTAAATCCTGCTGCGATGTCTGCGCTATATGTTTGGAAGGTACTGCTTGCAAACCGGCGGCTGAACGCCATAATCGCAGCAATCGAAGGCTTCGACAAAAGCACCAATACGATGTGAGCAAGTCTGAATAACAACCATTGATTATTATATCTCGAAGGCAACTTACAATAAGTAGACAGGAGAACCACATTTCGAATGACATTTACATTCCTCAACCCCTTTTTTAGTAATATTGCACAATTTTTCCAAATACAATAAAAGAGTGCTAGCTCTTTTTTTGTCAGTGGATGGAAGTCAATTGGTAGAGTTCGTCATCAAACGCGAGAATGCACGAAATCCGGCACACAAGTATTAATGATTTATGCACTGCGTGCAGAGATGCTGCACTGCAAAGTTTATTGCATGCCTATTATTTGATCGCCCTTACTTAAACAGTGTTTGTTTTCACAGTTTCCTGTAATCACCTCCAGCTTTCTGCAGTTAAGCCTCTGGAGAGGAAGTTTTGTCCTTGCTGGAGAATTTGCTTGAAAATCCACGAATTAATCACGAAAATCCAAAAAACGCCCACGTACCAACATTTGCCTAAGTACTGCATCCAAACTCGCTTGAAATCTTTGAAGGATGCGATTCTTGCCCCGAACCTTGTCCATAGATGACGTCATGCAGATGGTTGACACTAAAGATGGTGACATTCTTGTGCTTACGGATCTTGTCCGGGAAGAATCGGGTATCAGCCAGAACTCTGGTGCAACCACGTCTTCGAGTGATGAAAGCAATAGTCATGTAAGTTTTGCTCCATCAAAATTTCATCAAATTACAGTGCGCATCGTTCAGGTAGTAATATCAAAGTCATTCGACGCAAATCTTTTCCAAAGAACTCGGATAGAACTGCCAGAGGCACTGCAGCCCGGCTTTTCTAGTAAGCGTTTACAAAATCTCTTAATTTTTCAACTACTAAGGTGAAATTGTCAATTTAGGTCTGGCTCGGCTACGGCTTTCCCCATCACGGCCGTCGGTTGTCGACATAGAGGCCCTAGAAGAGCTTGAAGATCGCATAGCACTCGGGCAAGCTAGCCCCATTGATAGTTCCGTGCGATTTAGATCCAGGTAAGCGATCACGTCTCTTTGTGCTTCTAAATCCTCATTTTAGTAAAGCAGAGTCTGTTGGATATCAAAAACTCAATGTTTTTATTGTTCTAACGTATTTTCTCAAAAGCAGCATTTAGATGAGTTTGGCTGTATTACTTGGAAGTTAATTTCTCTTAAGCCAAGATATGTCATATTAGACATCCTTACTTCTATCCAGCAGTGGCGGACCGAGGGGGGAGGGTGCCCCCGAGAATGTGGTTTGAAATTGAAATGAAATTTTGAATGTGAATTTGAGAATGTGAAAGAATGTGAAATTTTTGAAATTTACTTATATATGTTATAAAAATGTGCAAGTGATGACTTGTTTTACTTGTAAATAATTATCACAAATTTTTAAATCTTTTAAAAAGTCAAATAAGCCCTGTAAAAATTTTTTCGGGGCCGGCCAAGATTAATGGTCAGATTATAAAAATTGACGTTCAAGCAATGGCGAAGCCTCATCAGACCAACTAACTCAAGCATCTAATAGGCATATACTGCGAGAGATTTTTGAACAAAATTATAAAAGTTTGTTAACTTAAGACCTGTAAAATCTCAAAAAATCAATAGCAAAAGCTCTTTGTTGTAAAACGAAAACATATTTTTAAGCAAATTACAGTCTGATAAATTTCTTACACCTCTCTATTTAGGTTGTCGCTAATACCCGAGCAAGTTCCTTCTACTGTGGAAGAGTGTGAAGAGCCAAGTGAAAGCAGCCATGCTTTGTCAATGGAAGAAAATGCAGACAGTCCACCAACAAGGTCCATTTCTAGCAACACTCAAACTGATTCTCAGTGGAAGTTATAGTTTTACAGAAGAAGTCGACTACATTCAATGTTCAGCAGCATTCTTTGACGGAAGTCCAAGGATATATCAAGCCCAAAATCCGAGACAGATCCATCTTAGCTCTACTAAAAATTCAAATCTATATCATATACTGCCGTTTTTGGCTTATGGGTCACTTTCTCTTCAGATTAGTTCCATTTTCTAATGCTCCTTGGATAGTCGAACTATGAAAATATATTACTCTCATTGATATCCGTTTATCACTGTTATTTAAATCTGTGTCAGCTAATATTATACGAGCTTCCATATGCTTTCGATATCAAAAAAAACTTTTTTATATATCTATAAAACGTTTCAAATGTGGTGCAAGAGCAGTTTCTTTGTGGGACGATTCATCGAAAATTACATGAATGTTCAACCATTGATGATGACTCAAGAATAGAAATCAGACATGGTGAATGAAAAACAAAAATTACCAAAAGCCAATTTTTTCGTAAGTTCTTGCTCATTAGAATGTAATAATTTGGAAAGAAATGTACATGATTTTTTCGGGTTTTTCAATTAAAATCGATATTTCATAGAGGACATATCCAAGGTCAAAATTTTGGGGTTAGACTTCTGAGTGCAGTATACAAAGACAATAGACAATCAGGAAGGATCCCAGGAGTGCTGGAAGCAGAGTTTGCCATTCTCGATTTCGCTTTTCTCCGCTTAATTCAATATCTCTAAGCAGGAAACAAATATAGTAAGTGTAGCTATGAATAAGTCGTGGGTGCAGAAACAAAAAGAAATTTCTTAGGATTGTTTCGGGCAAAACTCCGATTTTTGGCATCATGAATTGCCCTTATATTTCGGCAAACCATGCGTAAATCAAGCTGCTTCTGCCAAGATGTAAAGGTCATCTTGTGCAGAGCTTTCTTTGCTTCATCGAATGATACCCTTCATATATTTTAATTTGTCTTATTAATTTGCTATAAAAACGAAATTCTTTTTTTTTCGAACTTAATACTAATTCTACAGGCGTATCTGGACACATTTCTGAGTCGTTTCCTTTCTGTTCTATAGGTGGAATGGAATTGGATTGTAGTGCCGAAAACATTGTAGACTTTTGGAGAGTGGATTTTTGGTAGCCCAACCGGTCGGTCTCAACGCGATTCTCCTCTTTTGGTTCACTTCACAACCTTACACACACATACCTTTTACTCGCTACCGGTATCCACAACCACCATGGCTAACTATTTAGCTAAGGTCCTAACTATTGGTGATATCGCGCAGTAAATTCATTTACTTCACCCACATAATTTCCACCTGAGGAGAGGCTTGAAGGAAAATGTTCGTGTTTATGTCGTGTTCACAAAATATTCAGAAGATATGGGTTGCGTTCTACAAGGTTCTTATTTCCACTTGAAAATTTGCAACCTGAGAAGCACACACTTGAAGCGAGACAATCGTTGCAAAAATTGCTTTGTTCGCAATTAAAAATGACGTCACCTGATCAACGAAAGAGGGATAGGGATTGACTATCACCACCTTGTCAATATCTCGAACGTAAACATGAATGAGAAACGTGCAAAAGTTCGGTCATTTTTTGTGAATAATTGAAGTATTTCTATAAATTTTTCTAGCATTACCTTTTTTCAGGGGGCGCTTGAGCTCGAAGCATCCCACAACTCGTAACCAACGTCACCCTCCATTTGAAAAATCTCTTTCGCTCCTCCCACATCTCCCAAAAAAAACATATTCGACCCGCTGCTGTTATCTTCCAATGATCAGCTAGCTGTCGTTTGTTGCGAGTTTTCTGATCAGATTAAAACGCGCAAACAGAAATAAAAAAATTGCCAAAACTGGATTTTTTGGTTCCTGGATCTCCATTTTGAAGCCTCCTTTGTTTCACTCGGGAAAATTGAAACAAAGAAGAGGATAAAGGAATGAACATCTCAATTAGACACCGCCTCCGCGTCATACTGGTCCTAATACGATGCACGACAATAGAGCGAAAGGACCAGCTCCGCGGAGGAGGTGCCTATTTGAGATGTTCGTTCCTCTACCTTAAAGAAAAAAAGTGAGCGGTGTAAGAGCTTTCAAAGCATATATACACTTTATAGAACATTGAACAAAATGCGAAAAAAAAGTTCAAAAGTTCCACCACACAGTCTAATTTTGTTACCTGCGACGCAAAGCTCTCAGTTTGATCGGACCCGGGCCATTAATAAAGCTATAAACCCTTCCCAAACTGCGAGGCACTTAGAGCCATAAAAAAACTTTCGTATGCAGTTGAAAGTCGATCAATCATGGGAATTAGCGAGATTATGTGCTGAGCAGACCATCTCCGCGTTTTGAGAGACACTCTCCTTGCTAGTACTTACCCGTATGAGAAAGCTTTCACCAACTATGGTAAACATGTTTATTTATTGTTTCCATCTATAGTCTCAAGCCACACAGCGGGTAGATTCATTTTTTGAAGAAGGTCTTTGTCCGGTAGGCTCACAATTCGAAGTGACTAGCGTATACTTCATGACAGGATCAAGCGGCGGCTCCAGCGGCGGAGGAGGGTGAGCCGATGCTGCTTCGGACCAGGACCTTCCGATCTATTTCAAACGCTTGAAGAATGATCTATTCCAAAGGCCCGTGATTTGCAGATGGAACTGAGCCGCTCAAATTCTTTTCTTCAGAAAAGGAGCAGAAAGCGTATACTTCATGTAGGGAGCATCTAGAGGAGCCGGAGGAGCGGGAGGAGGCGGAGGCGGTAGCGGTGGAGGAGGATATGGGTTTGTTCAGGATTTGACCAGTATACTAATCAACGTACAGGAATGATATCCACGAAAGTCCATAATGGAGGAAAATGGACTTTCAAGCCCCATTTTATTCGTTCGCGGTGGAGAAAGGTCGGAATCTGCTTTCGCTCGCGTTATCCAACAATTTTCATCCCATCGCAACCACGAGGCGAAGCGGTGAAATGAAAATGATTTAACCCTACCTGAGCTCTCGCTTGCGAAATGATGACGTCAAAAGTCCATTTAGAATGGGGCAAAATGGGATTTACGTCCATTTCAAATGGACTTGAAAGCCCATTTTACTCCCAGCAGCAAGGTGAGCTGGGACTAAACCCATTTTTGACCTTTTTGCATATTTTTGATTGCGATTTTTTGGGAATGTGTTCCCTCAACCTATCCTAAGGTAACAGGTGAGTGGAAAAAGTTTCATGTCTTTTATGAAGTCTGAAATAAGTGTTTCTTTCTATACTCATAGAAACGCTATAAAAACATAGAAAAAGATTGAATTCACCCAAATATTCGCTAACAAACCCAAATGCTTCTTAATATCAGGTCAATCAGAAAATTCTTATGTAAAACAAATAAAGTTTGTTAACTCTTCAAATCATCAACCAAAACCAAATTCATGATTTGTAATCTAAAATTTGAAAAAAATTGTACTTCAATGTGATTACTTAGAAGCTATCTTTGTTAATTTCGTAGAACCGAACCTCAGAGACGGCATTTTAAACGCAATTTTGAGTTTGGTCCGCAAGAATTACTGAAGTGCCGCTAGCTAGCTAGAGAAATTCCGTGAAAAATTTCTTACTAGATTAATCCATACATTTAACTCCTTAGAGTTACAAATATTAGTGCTGAAAGACAAAGAAAAGCTAATATAGAGCACTTGCGAAGTCATCTTTTGGGATTCAAAGTTTTTGCGATTTGAAAACCCTTTGAGTTGTAGATTGCTGCACAGACTATCATCTAAAAGCGGGGGCGGGACCAGCACAGAGGTTTATTGAACGCTGGTCGAGACGAGCGTATCCAATCTTGAATAACGACTTTAACCTCAGATTCGGGTGCCTTAAAACACTCGTAATCATATTTCTCAAGTCCTTGAAAGAGCATCGGTAAAGTCAGCCTTCTACAAGGCCGAAAATTATCTTTGCATTTCTAAGGGAATTGCAGTATGCAATCATTAGTGAGAGAACAGCTCAGCATCTAAACCATGATAATGTCAATCCCCTCGATATAAGCCGAAGAACTTACAGCTACTTAATGTGATGTGGAAAGTGCGTGCGCATGCGTGTGAGCAGGAGACATGGGATAGGAGACATGGGATTTCTCAAATGAATTTCTCTCTATTTTTTGCTTTGGATTTTCAGTTACTTGGCTTCAAAGATCGCGTGAGTAGAAGTTGGTTGATGCAAATTGAACAGAACTTGTAGAGCTTATTTCGCTCTGTCGCACGATACCTCGGTATGCTTACATAGTATATAAAAAAATTATGACTTGCAGCCGAAGTCACTCTGGATTAGTCGTATCAACCTAATACATACTTTCAAAGCAATTTGTGATAGGTCGTTTCAGATGTTTTCTCGTCTATGATGTTCGTATTTTGATCTTTTCCACAAAAAGTAGAACCGCAAGATTTGGAATATTAAAGGCAAATTCGAAATTTAGTTTTTCAAGAAAATTACCTTGAATTTAACGACTCAAATTTTGAGTTTTTGCGATTGGGCAATGCCTTAACAAAGGCTATAAAAAATCACACAAAGAGAGAACGAGTGCAAAGAGAATATGGCGCGTTTTTTTTTTGAATGATGATTTTTACTGAATCTTTGGTGTTCACTTGAGCATAAGATGAAAACAAAATAAAATTTCAAAGTGCTGTAGTACTTGTACAATTTTGTTTTGTACAAAGATTAGTGTTCGCATTCAAAACCAAGAATAAGAGAGGGAATTGTACAGGGCTCCTAAATTGCAGAGTCGTTTGCACCAGCGGTCGCGCGACCGCTGGTGCAAATGACTCTGCAATTTAGGAGCCCTGTACCATAAACATCACAAACTCTGGATGCATTTATAGTTACAATACAAATTTGTACAAGTTTAAAAAATGCGGTGCCAATCATATTCATACAAAGGGCGATGGAACTTTATGGGGTAATGACAAACTGTAGCTAGTTGTTTTTACATTACAAAAAGTCGGTACAAAATTAAAACTCTCAAGTGTGGTATGTTGTTTGTGAAATCCTGACATCCTGT